GGGTGAGGGCACGGGGTTTGGGGTGACCGAGGGGGGGTGACTGAGGGTGGGTGACTGGGGGTGGGGTGACTTGGAGGGAGGGGGATTTGGGGGGTGGGGGGGGAACTGGGTGGGGTGACTGAGGGTGGGGGTTACTGAATGTTCGGATGAGGGAGGGGAGGCGAGTCTTGGTGGATCTCTTGAGCCAAGGAAAATGGAGTTAGGATAGTCCTGGAGGTTGAGGGGTGAGTAAAGGAGGGTAATGGGAGAGGGAGGTTGAGGGAGATTAACGACGATGAGAGGGACGGGGAGAAGGGGAGAAAGTTGGGTGGTGGTAGGAAGGAGGGATGTTTTTGGAGAGGCGAGAGTATGTTAAATATCTTTATTTAATGCTTTCCCATACACATCCGGTGGACGGTATCAAAAGATTACAGAGGTACATAAAGGGGTCCCGGGACTGGACCCCAAAGATTATACTACCATGACAACTAGTTACAAACTTAATGGACTCGCAGTAGATCTGGTCCACAATCAATGGCAATTTAACAAAGGAAATGAATCAGCAGCATCCTCACTCCTATAAACATGGAGTTACATTCCAGGAACCAAATACAGGAAGTAATGACCACAGATAGATACGTCCACACCTGGTCACAAATTGTTATATTTTTTATTTTTTATTATCACAACTGGCCGGATCCCAGCCCAAGGCGGTGCACGAAAAAGAAAAACTTCACCATATCACCCCATCACTGTCTTGCAAAGGGAGCTTTACCAACTACATTTTAACACAACTGCAAAAACTGCGAACATTAACACCCCTCCTTCATAGTGCAGAGCAGCACTGTACTTTTCCCATCCTCCAGACTAAGTCCGTGCCTGGCCGGATTCCCCTGACCCTTCATAAATGTTACTTTGCGCTACTATTGGCTTACACTTATTCCAACAGCAAACGTCAATTATTTAAAAACACAACCCGTTTGTCTCCATCACTTCCTATCCAAACACGCTCACGCATGGCCTGCTGGAAAGAAGTCCGCAATGCCCCTTCGGCACATCACAAAACCCTCCTTTATTAACTTACCCAACCCCTCCCTCCAACCTTTCCTAGGACGACCCCTACCCCATTGTCCTAGGTATGCCGACCGACGCGGACCGAGCGACCCCCTACCCACCCGTGCCTTCGCCTTTGGCCCGTCCCCCTCCTTTCCTTCCCTTCCACTTCCAACTAAGCGCGGACTGACACACCCCCTTTGACAGTCATTCCTTGTTTCGCCACCCCTTCTCCTCCAACACACAATCCGAAACCACCTCAAAAAACCCTTCCTCAGCCCTCCTGGACAAAGTTTTTGGTAATCCCTTTTGGGTAATCCCCGCACCTCCCTCACAATTTTCCCATCTAACTAAACTATTTAAAAAACTACGAAATCCTCTGCATTATATTCACAACCACACACAACACAATTGCTCTCAGACATGCCATCTCCACTGCCTCATCCTTCTCCTCGCCTGCAACATTCATCACCCCATTCTTCGATTCACAAACAACCCATATAAGAGCGTTGGTAAAACTATACACTCTATTATACATTCCCTCATCCCCCTCTTATTGCCTCCACCCATGGACAAAGTTCTTTGTCTCCACAGACTCCTAAGTGCATTACCACTCAACACCGCCTTTATCCCCTCATCAATTCTATATACACCTCATCTTTCAATAGACCCATCATCCGCTGACACGGGTCCACTTCCCAAATAACTGAATACATTTCAACACCTCCTCCATACTCTCTCCCTCCAATCAGATTATCCAATCTTTCATCACCTAATCTTTATTTTATCCTCATCAACCTTACTATTTCCTGAAATCACTGTTACAAATGTCCCCCTTCTTTTGCACACCCTACCGATAAATTCATATTCATTTGTTCCACCATCCTCTGCAATCTTCTCTTCGAATCCCCAAGAGGCACAGTGTCATCAGCAAAAGCAGGCAACTGTGACAAACTCCCACTTTGTGCTGATTCTTTATTTATAACCCCCATCGCCTCTTGCCAAGACCCTTCGCATTGACCCATCTTCTTACAACCCCATCTATAAATATAGTAAACAACCACGGTGACATCACACATCCTTGTCTAAGGCCTACTTTTACTGGAAATAATTTCCCTCTTTCCTACATAACTCTAACTTGAGCCTCACTATCCCTCGTAAAAAAACAACTTCAACTGCTTTCAGTAACCTACCTCCTACAACACATACACCTTCAACCTCCTGCCACATTGCCAACATTTGCCGCTTGCCCCCCCTATCCACCCCTGTCAATACGCCTTTTCATCCATATCCATAAAAGCCACAAAGACCTCTTTAGCCTTATCTAAATGTAATGAGTTATAAATAACAAATATTAAGTGCCATACAAACACCCAACATACGAGCGGGCGCCGCGAAACGCTGACCCACACACAGGAGGGCGGCACGTACAAGTACAGACACATGCATGCACACGAGCGGTACAATATATGCAAACACACACAAGACGCAACGAACGCACAGTCACACGCGCACTGCCACGCACGCGCAACGCCACCCGCACACAAAGCCCACACAGTTCTAACGATAAGGTAACAGAAGTAAGACAGGAGAGAGAGGGATGGGTAGATGCATCTTTTAGATTGCAAAAGCTTTTGACAGGCAGTACCGTGAGCACACAAGAACTGGTGCAAAAATTAGAGGAGCAGGCAGGAATACCGGGAAAGTACTCTGCAATGGATCAGGGAATACCAGACAGGAAGGAAACTACTTGTGTTGGAACTGCTGAAGGTGTTCGAGTGGGCGAATGTTGTCGAGTGGGGTTCCACAAGGTTCATCCTAGGCCCGGGCTGTTTCTTGTATACGTGAAATGACATGGGGAAGGAATAGATTCAGAAGTGTCACTGTTCGCTGATGACGTGAAAACTGATGAGGAGAATACAAGTGTGAGAGGATCCAGTTTAAGATTTACAGGGAAACTGGACAAACTACAAGTATGGTCCGACAAATGGCTTCCTGGAGTTTAACGCCCAGTAAGTGTAAGGGTCATTGAAGATTGGGGAAGGACACAGAAGACCGCAGACGGAGTACAGGTTAGGAAACCAACAGCTGCAAACGCCAGTTAAAGAAAAGGATCTTGGGGTAAGCATTATAACGAACATGTCCCCTGAGGCACACATCAATCAAATAACTGCTGCAGCATATGGGAGATTGGCAAACCTGAGATTGGCGTTTAGACATCTGAGTAAGGAGTCATTCACGACATTGTATACAGCGTACGTAAGGCCTGTACTGGAATATGCAGCGCCAGTATGGAACCCTCACTTAGTCAAACACGTTACGAAATTGGAGAAAGTGCAAAAATTTGCAACACGATTAGTCCCGGAACTGAGGGTATGTCCCTTTTTGAGGAGAGGTTAAGGGAACTCAACCTGATGACACTAGAGGATAGGAGGGATAGAGGGGACACGATAACGTATACAATACTAAGAGGCATTGACAAGGTGGACAAGGATCGAATGTTTCAGAGATGGGATACAGAAACAAGGGGACACAATTGGAAACTGAAAACCCAGATGAGTCAGAGGGATGTTAGGAAGTATTTCTTTAGTCTTAGAGTTGTCAGGAACTGGAATAATCTGGAGAGTGAAGTAGTGGAAGCAAGTTCCATAAATAGCTTTAAGAAGAGGTATGACAAATATCATGGAGCAGGGAGAGAGTGAATTAGTATCGACCAGTGAAGAGGCGGGGCTAGGAGCTATGACTCGACCCCTGCAACCACATATAGGTGAGAACACACACACACACACACACACACACACCACACACAAGTTATATCATGTACTTGTAGAAATAAAGAATATTGTTATAATAATCGTGGAGTCATCGCCCCTGCGACTCTGTCTCTGACTACACCACCTTCCATGGGATCTGGTTGGCCAGGCTGTGAGAGATGCTCTCACACTACTTGTAAACGTTCGCTCTGGAAGATATATTCAGAATTGCCTTTTGATATGAAGGTTGTTGAGAGGCCTCGAAGATTTTGTTGGCTTCCGCAGTAACACTGGTGACGGCAGCAACACTCGTAGGCAGCAGCAACACTGGTGACAGCAGCAACACTCGTAGGAAACAACACTGGTGAC